AGCATTGTAGGGTAAGATTCTTCACACTAAAAAATATACATTGTATTAGTATTTATTTATTTATTATTAATTTTTTATTTAAACATAAATAAATAAAAATTAAAATTAAAAAAAATATATACATGGTGTATGCATACATGACACACATAGTGCAAGACTGCTGTTTCAGTTCCCTGATATTTATTTAGTTGTTCATTTTCATCTATCACAGCTTGCTGAAGATTACATTAAAATACAGGCAGAAATGAGCAAGCTACTAGAACAAAGGTACATTCAGCACTATTGGTTTTTATTGAATTCATCTATAATGACAGTTGTGACATCACATGTACAATGCCGCCATGCAGGGGCGGATACAGGATTTTGAAAGAGGGGGGTTAATAGTTTTTAAAAAGTTCTTTTGAGCCTTCTTTTTACAGTACAAAGGGGAAAAAAATGATTAAATTGTAACATACAGTGTACTGCATACTTGTGAATGCAGCTATATTTTGACTCTTGACATGTTTTGTAATTAGATGCAATCATATTCCTTCTTCTATTTTCCTAAAAATATTCACTTTTACTTTAAAAGGGGGGGGGGGGTGGAAATCCACCCAATCCACCCCCCTGTATCCGCCCCTGCCATGTTGGATGTTACAACAAAAGAAAGTAATAAAAAAAACGTTTTAAAGTTCATTCAACATAGATATGATATCGCATGCATGAGGCTGCATTGGATGATAATGTGTAGTTCTAGAAATCATCCATACCCACCACACAGAGGAATTTGGAATTTCCGAAGAGTAGGGGGGTCAGCGAAAGAACAAAAATTACAGAATTTGTATGGAAGAAAATTGGAATTTCCAGGGCCCGGGTAGTTGGGTGTCTTAAAAAAATTCCTCCGTGAGGGGGTATGGATAATTTTTGGAACTGCACAATGTCAAAATATTATTTTTTTGTTTTGTAGGGCTGAACTAGAGATGCAACTCCAGGAATATGAGAAAGAGCAACAAATGAGTGCTCCTTATGTAGAACAGTTTGCTATCCTTACTAGTGAAAAGGTATACTTTGGAACAATATATATTGTCATATCTGAATCGATGTGAAGATTTTTAGCCATATGTGATTTGAGTTTGTTTGATGTGCTGTTTTTCTTTACCATCAGGGTTTTTCTCCCGTTTTTCTCTTGCCGTAAGAATCAACATGTGAGTTGAGAGTTGCGTGCATAAAATATTCGAATGTTAGATATTAGCAGTCTCTCATGGGTTTTTTCAACACTTTTCAAACACTTTGAAATTCCACTGTACTTCACTGGAACACATGAATATTCTACACAAATTGACCGTGAGCAACAGAGAACCCAAAACTGGAGTATTCAAGATTGATCTGTGAACTACCTGTGCCCTGACTTTGATCAGCCCTGAGGTTTTTCAGGTTATTTATAGAATTGGAAGGAATCGTTGATAATTTTCCTTTTTTCTTAACAGGAGAATCTGCTTTTACTTCACAAAAATCTCAAAACTCAACTTGAATATCTTCGACGGCCAAGAACGGCTTTCTGAAGGAATGTAAATAGATCATTTTTAATGTAAATAGATTATCAACTATGCATGTGTGAACATGAAATCGTAGGATTTCTTATAATCCAGTAAGATGGGATGGGGGGGGG